GGAGAGGGAACCAGAATGAACAGTATGATTGGCTGAGAGGTGTTGCCTCTGATTCTGTGTAGCCGGCCTACCAGGTTCTTATTGCCTTGAGAAGGGGCATCCCTCGTTGTGGAGACAGCTCTGATCTTTCTTACCCTACTAACTTCTGCCTGTGTAAGAATTCATCTTCCCCTCCACACACACCACACATTGATTCCTCCGTGCTCAGTGCTTCAAAGTCTTTTCCTGCTTTTTGCAACATTCACACACACACACTTAGGGTATGCTGAGAACAAACATGTCTCTTAGCCGCCACAAAAGAAGATGGTGTCCTGAGTCACAACATCCTCTTACCCTGGTCAAAAGAGTTGCATTTGCTTTCCAATGGCAAAGCAGCTCATCAAGAAATTGCTCTGAGAGGAGAGTCTTTTCTTTCAGGGACATTTTGGGAACTAGTCAAGTCACAACGTTTGTCAGTGGATAGGAAGCCCTGCCTATTGTGCACATGAGAGATGCATGCAAGTTCTGGTTCTTCATTCTCTGCTTTCAGATTTCAGTAAAAACATTTGCTAGGGAATCTGGATTCAGCTCATCAGGCCTCCTAGTTGAACCACCTACTTTGCTCACTTTCCTTCAGTCGTTTGTGCCATTCGTGTAAATCTGGTGCCAAAGCCGCTCCCAGCCAGCAAAGATTTAAGTGTTTACTTTTATGCGGACCAAAGGAGCCATTCTTCTCCTTGAGATTTGTTGCTACACAGAGTAATGATTTTTAACTGGGTCTTAGTAGCTTCAAGCCCGGCCATCTGCCCAGTATGTAAATTGGTCCTTTGTAACAAGAGCACTTCAGAAGGTGAGAGTTTGTGTTCCCTTCCCAAATATGTGACTACAAGAGCCAGCAAGTCAAGGTATTCCTTTGTAAACTGTGAGTACAAATGCTCCTTTGGAGTGCTGAAATGGACCTTGACTGTCTGCAAAAGAATTGCATCACTCAGCTCCTCTGCCTCTGACCTTTCTTTCTTCTGAGCCATTCTTTCTTTGCTGTGGCCCCGGAGCTCTGCATAGCCACCCCTTCTTTGTAATACTCTAAAATTGATTTGGAGGGTATCTAGAAGTACTGCTAGCCACACCTGCCCCCTGTGGACTTTTCATGCTGTTCATCAAGGTAGCGTTTTAAAGATGTCATATTGGACCAGTCTGTTTGATTTCAATATATTTTAAAAAAAGAAAAAGGAAAAAAAATCTGTTCAGTCCAATATAAGACTCCTGTTTTGCTTCCTGTATGGTTATATCCTATGTGACATTTACCTCTTTCTCTCTCTTTCTGCTGATACTCTGATTTTAATGTTTTCCATTTGTTTTGGCAATCAGTTGTATCATTCCTCTATTATGTTTTTGTTTTGGTTTTTTTTCCTTAAATTCCTTGTTTAGCTGTTAGATTTGCACTTATTATTTTTAAGGGGTTCTGCATCAGAAGCTTTTAACATACAGTGGGAAGAATGTCAAAATGTTTGGAGGGTGGAGTTCCCTCCAGTTATTTCTGAATGCCAGTTGGGGTAGTATTTATCCTTCTGTTTTCCTCCTCATGCCTCTGGAACATGCACAGGTCTTTTCTAGAGGGTGGGGACTGGCTTTGACATGCAACTGCTTCTTTGCTAGCCAAAATGCAGTTCTATGCCTGCCAGTGAGCAAGATAAGTTTGCTATTCCAAGAGCAGTCTGAAACATAACCATTGTGAAAGATTTATTTATGGAAAAACATTAGCAAAGTCTCTTCAATTGGCTTAATTTATAGCTGTAGGATTTAGTGCCACACTAAACCTTCCCTGATATATTGCACACTTATACACACAGACACACACAGTTTCCCCTTCTTCATGCCAGCTATTCAAAATATTTTTTAAAGTTTACATTATGTTCAAATCTTTGCTTCGTAAGTATGAAAAATAAGTAACTTGCTGCCATAATTTAAAGCTTACTGGGGCGCTGGGGCTGGGTTGTTGTTTGGTGGGTGGAGTAATATTGGGGGGGGGGACTTTTTTGTTGTTGTTGGATTCTGAAAGCTGAGATTTTCTTGTGCTGGGAACACATGAAAGTTGTTGAATAGACAAGCAGACTGTGCATGTCTCTGATGCTTTGTATAATTCATACGTGGACACTTGAGTCTTCGGACAATAAACAGTATTATCAAATAAAATCAGAACAGACTCTCTTTGTCTGGAGTATGCTTTTACTTCTTTGGAGGTACAAAAACTAGAAATTGCTCTTATGCCTTTTAGCTTCATTATTCATGTCAGTATGGTGGAATGGAGTTTGACTAAGGAAAGGTCCCAAGTTTCCTCTAAGCTGTGCTCCCACTTCCATCTGGCACAAATTGATCTCTAGCTCCTGAGAGTAGCTGCTGGTTCACTGCCCTTTCTGCCCATTTCTAAAGCCTCTCCTGCCGCTGCTTTCCCATGTTGATGACGTCCATGTCCCCCTTAAACTTGGAGACAGGATGCCCTACAGTTCTCCCAAGGGCAAGAAATCAAAAAACACAGTGGTGCACAGCAAATTAATCTCCATGTTTTAGTCAAACATGTGCTTCCACTTCCCTGAAGTTTAGCAGGTTTCAAAAATTATGGAAAGAATCCCAGACTAATCTCTTTCACATATGTCCTAGATTAGCTGGAATTCAATTGTATACAAGGTATTGTATTTCTCAAGGATGTGCCTTGGTTTCCCAGGCAAATGCACCTGGTGCTCTCTAGAGATCATACAGAGCGAGTGGGAGGACTGCCTATAAACATCTTGACTTTGAAGAAATGTGAAGATTAAATTGGCAATGAGTATGCCCAATTATAATAGGCTTGCCCATTCATTCCACTTCCCAACTCAAACTAGCTTTATTACTACTACTGTTATTATTACATTGCATTTATATCCCATCCTTTTCTTTTTACAAGGAATCCAAGTTGGCTTATTTTTTATTTATTTAGAACTTTTATATCCCGTCACTACTGAGGTCTTGTACAGTCTTATTGTACAGTCTTACAATAAAACAGAGTGGAGCACAGCATCCAAGTTGATTTTCTATACAATAAAACCCTACATTAAAATCACACTCAAACCCTAAAATAATGGGAAAATAAAAAGGGTTTGGCCTGGCACCGAAAGGATGAAGTGCTGGCACTAGGTGAATCTCTCTTGGGAGTGTATTCCATTTTTAGTTTATTCCATATTTAGCATATTTCATATTTAGTTTTCCTCTATTCCATTTTATCCTCACATCCCCATAATTAAGGACACACTTAACATGGAAACATCTCAAGGTGTATGGATGAACATGATATGCATACTCTAGGCTTAAATTTGGTGCATAATGCAGAGTTAAACAGTTTATTTATTTATTTATTTATTAAAACATTTTTATGCCGCCCCATTCGCCGAAGCCTCGGGGCGGCTTACAACATAGATTGTAAGTTCACAAGTTAAAATAATGAGATCAGATTAACCCTTTGTCTCAGAATGTAAAATTATGATTGTCACATCCACTGCAGGCCGAAGGGCCATTCCGGCAGGTTACCTGCTCTGTATGTGTAAAACCTACTTAAAATAGCTCTGCTAATCTCACTGAGGTATACAAAAGTAAACTTCGTTCTTAATTCAGTCATGACTTACTCTTCACGCTTAGTCATCGTTGCTTGAACCTCTGGTTATGGACCATTTTGGCCCTACTGGAATTAATATTGTAGTGCAGTGTTGAATTTGTTCTGGAATTTTAGTGAAGATGGGCTACTTTCATTTATAGGGCTCCTATAGCTAAAAACCTATTTTTGTGATTAAGAAGAGATTTGCTTTTCCTTTAGCATTCCCCACCCCGTATTTTAAAATTAAAAGAATTCAAAGAAAATCGTCTCCATTCCTGCCTTGTCCCAAAAGCCCTAGCGCATGGCCTAATTATGCCTTTTTAAGGGGGGTGGGCCACCAGCAGGCCCTGGGGAGAAGATTGGGCGTCAGCACGGCCTCCCGCCCGCTCTGCATATAAACGTGCAGAGGAGAGTAAGCCAGGCTTGAGAATCCCGCCCACCCTTGAATGCGGAATTCCTTGAACTTCGGGTCCGTGTGACTGGAAATGCAGACAAGGAATCAAACGGTGACCCAAAATCTCAAACGCAGACGGCTGTTGAAAAGCATTACTTTGCGTTCACGTGTCTCGCTCAGCTCGGTCCGATTTTTCCCCTTTCCCTTTTTGCCCGTGCGAAGCACGTGGCAGGAAGTGCTACCCCGTCTCTGCGGGACACTGCGCCTTTTGGATACTCGTCTCTCTTCTCCTTCGGTCACGCGCCATGCTCTCCGTCCCCTCCGAGTGTAAGCCTGGCACCGGAAGAATAAGCGTGGCCGGCGGCCAAGCAGGGACCTTTTCTCAGAAATGACCTTACGGCAGCACAAGGCGAACGGTTACTCTGCATTCAAGCAAAGGGAGCGCTTGGTGATTCCGTGAGGCGGCGGCGGCGGCGGCAGCCAGAGCGAGCAGCGGGGGAAGACGGCAGGCGGCGCTGCCTGGGCCTCTGATGCAGGCAGCGGCGCTGCGTCGCGTCACAGCAGACCGGGCGGGGCCGCTCCCTTTCTCCGCCCCTTAGGCTTGGGCCCGGCGCAGCGGCCTAGCGTTGGTCCGGCCGAGCCGCACCGCTCTTTCGGCCTCGTTCTCCGCGGCGTGGACACGTGTGTGTATGTACGCGCACGCGGGGAGCCGGAGAGCCCCGGATGGTGAGCATGAGGCTGGGAAGGGCGCGGCAAGGGTTCCCCGGGCAAGTGACGCGCTGAGCCGAGCTTGTTCCCTCTCTCTCTCTCTCTCGTGCGGAGGAGAATGCTTGGCCCGGGGTAGGTGGGGCGTTGCTGCATGGGGTGCATCGCGGGTCTAGGGCCTGGCTGGGTAACTGCCGCCCTTCCTCCCGGTTTGCCTTCTCATCCGACCCCTGCTCCGTTATGTCCGGGCCAGCCTTATTTCTCCAGCCGTGTACGGCCCTGCGTTGCTTGCCGCTCGCGCTCTCCTGGCGCCGTGGCCTGTCCCCGAGCCCGCGGGAGGTTCCTGGAGCAAGTCAGCGATGTACATCCATCCACCTTGCTCCAGGCGCGCGTGGCGGCGTGTCGAGTGGGGCCGCCGCCGGGACTCTGAGCCCAGGCCCTGGGCAGGATAATCTCAAACAGCTTTCCTCAGGCTAGTGCTCGCCAACTCCCATTACCACTGGCTACAGGCCGTGGTGTCAGGGGATGATGGGCGTTGTGATTGGACGGCTGAGCCAAGGCAGCAGATAGATGTGGGTGCCTTCCGCATCAATACCTGCGTCCTGGAGCACCCTGCAGCCTTTACTGGCAGACCAAGAGTGGCAGAAGCACTTGACATTCCCTGGGCTACTCTTGAGGAGATGGTAGGAGCATGTTTCCTGTAGGTAGATGGGTCCAATGTACGTTGTTCTTTGGAGGAGGAGGGGGAAGAGGGAGTTGGTGAGCCTGTCTCTTTCTCTTCCCTGCCTTATTAGACAAATCAGGGTGAAAGAAGCATTCTCCCTGAAGAATGGGCCATGCGGAGCATAAAGTCATGTCTGCTATATGTTCTGGCTGGCCTTGGGCCTCTCAGTGTCCCCTGTCAATTGCTATATTTCTTTTTGTGTTTGCTTGTGGAAGCTTTGCTGTATTCATTATCTCCGTGCAAAATGCTGGGGGTTCCTATGTGTGTGGCCAGACATTGCATCATTGCATTGCCCCCCTTGTTATGTGTAGCTTGTGTGTCCTTGACTGCTGGGTTAGATGCAGCTGCTGCTGTTGCTTTGGCAAGAGCCAGCTGAGTCCTGCCACACAGGGTGAGGGCTTTGCTGTATGTACAGTACAGTTGTTTTCCAGATGCAAAGTTAGAATGTATCTCCTGTGTCCAATTGGAAAGCTCAAGGTTATGAATGGGAAAGTGTGGTAATATAAAGAAAGCCGAGGTGCTTTCAGGAGCTAGAATTTTTCAGAAATCATGCAAGACTAGCCAAGTGATGTGGATATCCATGCTGTCAGAAAGAGGATGGTGCTGAGATGAAGTGTCCTTGCCAAGGATCCATTTCCTGGTGCATTGTATGTGTGAAGTCTGGTGACTGTCGGGAAATTGGTCCTGTGTGGTGAGGGTTCCAGGCAGGAATCAGAGCATTTCAAAATTTGTGCTTCTACCTGCATAGAAATCTCAACATTCTGTAGTCTCCATGGAGGTGTAGAATTCTGGTGATAAACAAGCTAGCAACTTATATCACCTCCTCACCCCGCTCCCCAGCAGTAGTACAAAAATCTTTGGGTAGCTTCATTTGCTGGCCACCATTCTGTACTCACATGCTTCTAATAAATTTTCCTGAGCCTGTCAGCATAGAGGTGAAATGCTCCTTTATGTATCTTTTGATAATCATAGGAAAGTGTTTTGAGTTTTTTCCAAATATGGGCTTCTGTGTTAGGAAAGGGATGTTGCTGTTACAAGATACTTACTTACATTGTTCAGCATGGCAACAATGTTTTAAACCTCTACTAAGAGAAGCACTTGGGCTTTCTTAAAGGGATGTTGTCCTCTTTCTGCAGTAGTCAAACTTAGGGCCTATCCAGGCAGTCACATGACGCAGAAAGCTCTTGTTATCATGTGAAACTGCTATTATCTACCTGAGGATGTGGTAAATTGCGCCTTATGATAAAGGGTGGACCCTGTCGTGAGTTGTTAGGCTATGATGTGCATTAGGTTGTGCTTCTGTTTTGCTTTCCATGCTGGAGCATAATTGTTCATTAATAAGCTAATTTTCAATTAGTTGCAAAGCATCTTGAGACCTTGGTATTTAGAGTTTAGCATGGCTAACCTCATGATGAAGTTTCTTATGTAGTCAAGTCTGTAGTTTGTCTTCTGACTTTTGCTCAGTTGAAGAGTGGAGAATGTTGGATCCAACAGAGCAAGAGATGCTAATGGGTACACTAAGTCTTAGGAACTTGCTTGGCATGACTTAATTGCAAACATCAGTCTTTCTAGGCTAGAATACTGAAGTGTATTTACTGTGTAGGCGTTATCCAGTCAGTAAAAAATACTGTATCCTAGTTTTCAAAGAAGTGAGTGTCCAGTCTTTATGGTGAGAAAAGTTCAAAGTACAGGAACAGTGCCTGTTGCTGAAAAACAGCAACTGGCACTGGTTTGCTTAGTAGTTAGAATATTGGGGGGGGGGGGTTAATTCCACTAATTTCTGCCAATTCCCTCCACACAAAAACGGTAAGGCTGCATTATTTGCAACTTGCCTGATACTGAACATAAAACATGGAACTACTGCAGAATTTTGAGTTAAATTCAGAATCCCTGGGAAAAAAGTCATTCCTGGCAAGTTGGTTGTGTAGCATCAGCAACGTATATTGTACCTTTAAAAACAAAAAGTGGACAGGTCCATACCACAAAGGCTTACAATCTAAAATTTTACATAGGAGAAGTAAAAGGAAAGGCAAAGGAAATAGAGGGAAGAGTAAATAGTCATTTTTAAGTTATGTGTACTTTAGCTTGTTTATAGAAGGATAAGGAGAGAAGAGGGTTGTTGTTGTTACATGGCAATTATATTCCACTCTCCTTCTCGTGAGGAACCCAAGGCAGCTTGCATAGCTCCATTTTATTTGCATTACAACAAACCTGTGAGATAGGGTGAGCTGAAAGTCAGTGATTGGTCCAAGGTCACCCAGTGAGCTTCATGGCCAAGTGGGAACTAGAACCAGGATCTCCCAGGTCCACAGTCCAACACTCTAGCCACCATACTGCATGGGCTGTCACAAGGGGGTTGCGCCAGGGGCATTTTAGAAACATTGGGTTCTGAGTTCAGGTAATTTCTCTTGCAGCTTTGCCCTGCAAAACAAAGTTCCCTAGCTAGCAGAGCAGCCCTTGCTGCCACAAAGTGATGCATCATGCCCATAGTGGACAAGCTGAAAGAAGCCCTAAAGCCTGGGCGGAAAGACTGTACTGATGATGTTGAGCTGGGCAAGTTGTTGGCAGCTTCGGCCAAGAAGATTTTGCTGCAAAAAATAGAATTTGAACCAGCCTCCAAAAGCTTCTCCTACCAGCTGGAGAGCCTCAAGAGCAAGTATGTCTTGTTGAATCCAAAGACAGAAAACCCAAGTCGCCACAAGGGCTGTGAAGAGGCATTCATCCGAAAGCAAGGTACTTCACGTGCTGCACCTGTACTTTGGGGGCCGGGTGGGATGCTGGTTCCTGCTGTGTCTGACCTTGCCTACTTTCTTTCTCTTTGTCAGGCAGCGAGCATGTGCTTGGAGGTGATGGTGTGCCAGCCCCACAGAAGGTCCTTTTTCCTGTGGAGCGTCTCTCCCTGAAATGGGACCGTGTGTACCGTGTTGGAGCTGGTCTCCACAACCTGGGCAACACTTGCTTCCTCAACTCCACCTTGCAGTGTCTGACATACACCCCACCTCTGGCCAATTACCTGCTTTCCAAGGAACACAGCCGCAACTGTAAGTGTAGGGTTGGGGCATGCCCAGTGGCTTATACCCGCCTCCCCCCCCCCCCTTTGGGTGCTTCAAGGCAGAGCACTATGCCATCTGCTTCTTGTCGTCAAGTATCTGGGTAAAGGCTGCAGTAGGCCTCTGGTTTTACATTCCAGTGCCAGGCTACCGGGGCCTTTGACTGGTGGTCCTGGAAGCCTCAAAAACATGTGCTGGTGGCCAAGTGCAAGCAGATCAATCCAGAGGGGGTGGGAGTGGAAGGAGAACCCATGCCAGAACAGCTGCCAATCCCAAAGTGCTGCTTGGCTTGTGCCAGTGGGCCAGCTGGAGGAAAAACCAATACGGAGCTGTTGTGCATTTTCTTTCATTTTGGGGGCATCTGAGGGTAACAGGAGGGCTCTGGATTTGGCCCGTTTTGCTTTTACCACCACTGGAGGACTGGTGATAGAGCAGTAAGGGAAGTAGGGGGTACCATTCCCACAACTAGCAGGCTTGTGAAGGCAGATCTCCTTCTCCATCAGTGGCAGCCTTCCCTGTGGGTGGATAGGGAGATCAGCAATATCCTGTGGCCTCTGGGCCACCACCTCAGTGGTCATAGGATTGCTCCCTAAGAAACCGAATTATGATTCATAGTCCTTGGTTGGAACTTTGCCTCTGCCATGAACTCAGCAGGTGGCCTTTGGAAAGCCATTTCTTCTCAATGTTAGCCCCCACATCTGCAATACAGCAGGGCATGGGGGAATGATACTGACTAAGGGAAACAGCAAGTTCATGCCTGTGAAGTATTTTCATTGCTATATGAATGCTAAGTCTTATAATGTTTCTATGAAGTTACCTCAAAACCTTCTTGTATGAAGAATCCTTCACATTCTTTTTACCTGTCAGACAGGTTCTGTTCTGATCCTGTCTGACTTGACATATTTCAAATTGAAAAGTCACCCCACCCCTGGGATACCTAAAATTTCTCCCTGCAGCATGCTTTTCCCTTTTCTGATATTTATCTTGGGAGAAGTATGCTTTTCCAAGTCACATTAGCTTTTACTTGAGTTCAGAGGAACAGAATCTTTCTTATCTCGTGGACTGCATTGTATTTTGGAGAAAGCTACCAGTGCTACATTCCAGTGGTGAATGGGGCTGAAGGCAAAAGGGGCAGGGCCCAAACCCCAAGATCCCAGCATTTGTTGATTCAAGCTCTTACTGCGACCAACCAAGCCTTAGGAGAGCATTTCAGACTTTAAGAGTGTGGGAAAACTGCAGAAAATCTGGGAAACTGACAGCTGGGGAAGGACGGAGGTCCTCTAGGTTCCCCCAAAGGGCCAGATTTAGCAAAATACATAAATGAGAAGTATTTGAGTACTTAAGAGATGAGGTAGCCTTTGCAATGGATTTCTCTTACAAGGAGATTTTAGAGTGATGTGAAAGATACTTCCCCAATCTGATTAATGCAGCATTGTGTCTCTTGCTTTGGTATAATTAAAGTCTTGTTACAAGTCTTGTGACAAAGAGTGCCCAACTGCAATAACGGTTGCATTTCTGCATGAGTGTGGGAAGTGTGTTTTGCTTGTGGTAGTGGAAATGGAAAGGAGAGTAGAGCGTGTGGCCCCAAAGGCAACTAACTTGGAGTTTATCTTGTCCCTCCACTGATAGTTTTCTACAGCAGGCAGCTGCATTACAAGTCTTTGTACTCATCCTTGCAGAAAGGGTCTGGCAGCCTACACTAGCAGCTGCAAAGGAGCAGAGCTAGCACTTGGTCGGATGAGAGTTGCTGCTCTCAGCACCCGTCGTACCCTTGCTTGTAGTGCTGACTCTTAAGTGGGAGAGGATGTGAGCATGGCTCTGATGGGAGATGATCGCACAAAAGCAATTCCAGAAAAAGGAATCATTTGGCTCTATTTTGGATAGGCACAAAGATAGCTTTGCATTTGTAGGACTTGCTTATCTGTTTAATGTGTAGGGCCACCTGAACCGCTGAACTGAAGTGCTGCATTTTGGGAGAGCTTGTGATGTGGCTCTGATATGCTGGGAAGATGTCCAGCTGTCTATGCAAGGTTGATCTCATTCAGGCACTAAGCTATTTGGTGAATTGAGGGATCCCTGGTGTAAGGTATGGGAAAATGCTATAGATAAGTGCAGGTTTTGCTTCTGTGACAGTAGGACTGAATTCACACATAATGACAGCAAATTGTGGGTTAATTAACCCACAATTTGTCAGGATTGCATGGCACTGTAAAAACTAAATTGTAGGTGAATTGTGGTAGTTTAATCCACAATTAATCCATAGTGCCTGGGTCTGCACATTATGAAATAACCTCTAATATGGCCAATCAGATGTTACATACTCAAAATGGTAGCAACATGTATCAGGTATGACTTGAGACATACTTAACACATAATTTGCAGCTATGATGTATGAATAGGACCAGTGTGCCTTCAGCAAAGAAAAATGCCTTTTTTGGAGAGGGTTGACACATGATGGGTATTTAAGATTGCTAATCATGATGGAAGAATAGTAGTTGCATCAAAACATGCTCTTCTGTTTTATTTTCTACTGTCATTGTTGCCAGGCAATTTATATAGCATTGGCTGGGCAAATATGTTCTAGGCTGGGTGACACTCGTGCCCTGTTCATGGGGTTTTTAGTGCAGTCTTAATCAGCATTTACTGCAGTCCTTGCAAACAGATTGTCTCTCTGAAACGTGTGAATTAATTCCTAGTTTCTTCTCTTCTAGGCCACCAGGGAGGCTTCTGCATGATGTGCATAATGCAGAATCACATGATACAGGCCTTTGCCAACAGTGGCAATGCCATCAAGCCAGTGTCCTTCATCAGAGATCTTAAAAGTAAGCAGTGGAGAGAGCTTTGGGACTGGATCGGGATAGAAGAGATAGTGCATCTCAGCAATTTGTATAGGGCAAGGGGGCAAAGATCTCTTGTTTAAAGAGTCAGCTGTGGCTTTTGCGTGTATGCATTTGCGTGCCTTGCCCTGCACTGTGCTTGACTTAGAATGCTGAGAATACTGGCTTGAAGAAGCAGGCTCTGTAGATGGCAGGATTATAAAGGGAAATTAGACTTCTGTGTGCAGAAGTCATGCACTAAGTATTTAAGTGCTCCTTTCTGTCCTTTTAATCATTCAGTTTACAGCTGAAAAATGTTTCGACACTATAATGAGACTAAAATGCGCTATATGCTCTGCTCAGCAACATCTTGCTGAGTAACGTTCAGTGGAGAATTAGAATCTCCTAGCTGCAGAATCTAGATTTTTGCTGGCAGTCATTTCATGAGGAGCAGGTTCTGAGCCCCAGTGCCAGTGAGAGCGCCTGTACCTGGCACTGTGGGACCTGTGCTGAGAGCCACAGGTAACCATCTTTTTGCCCTTTCTTTCTCTTTCCTCGGACAGAGATTGCTCGGCACTTCCGTTTCGGCAGTCAGGAGGATGCACACGAGTTCTTGCGGTACACCATTGATGCCATGCAGAAGGCCTGCCTCAACGGTTATACCAAGTATGGGCAGCTTCATGTCACTGTGGTTGGGAGGGACTGCAAGGGTTGAAAGAATTAATAGCTTGAGATCTTACAGCCTTCCTGCCTTGTGCTGGGAGTTTAGCAAGAGTGCAGGGGTCAAGTACACACAGGGGAATGTGCATGCTAGGCAAGCAGCCACTCCTCCGGCAGTGGCTGCTTAGCCAGGACAGTAACAGCCAGAGTGCTGCACTAGCAGTCCCAGTAAGCAGGAGAATTCCTTGCCTGAGTGCCTTGGATGTCCCTCCACCTTCAGCCATCCTACTGAACTTAACCTTAGCACTTCAGACATGTGGTCTCGCCTGTCTTAACCCTCTGATGTGTGTCTTTCCAGGCTGGATCGTCAGACTCAGGCTACTACACTGGTGCATCAGATCTTTGGTGGCTATCTCCGATCTCGTGGTGAGCACAGTTTAGCAAATACCTCGTGGCATTATGCATACCGGGAGTTGCCTATTGCATATCTTGACAAGGGCACGCTGTGGGGTTCAAACTTTGACTAAGTCTAGTCGTAATACCACATGAGTTTCCTTCATTGCCTAGCGACACATCTGCATTGCTCACTGACTGACTGGCTGGCTGGTACTTAGCTCCTGATGTCTGCCATTCAAATTTCCTGCCCATTTCCTTTGGCTGTGAAGGGGATATTGGATGTCCTGTGAGTTGGCTGCTTCCAGCACTGGTTTTTCTGGACGGAAGCATTGCTGCCTCATCCTCCTCACTGGCAGGCAGCTTTGGCTATGAAGAGTAAGCCAGTGAGTGTTTCTGCTTTCTTTGCAGTGAAGTGCTCTGTGTGCAAGAGTGTTTCTGACACTTATGACCCCTACCTGGATGTGGCTTTGGAAATCAGGGTATGTCAGCTATTTGACTGTTTTGTATTTTTACAGCTCCAGATCAAAAGGAAGGCATTAAAATAATGAGAGCATATGTTCAACCATGCATGGACATAAAATATACAGTATATCACAGAAGTGAATACACCCCTCACATTTTGCAAGTATTTTATTGTATCTTTTCATGTGACAACCCTGAAGAAATGACACTTTGCTGCAATGTAAAGTAGGGAGTATACAGCT